GCTTACCATGTGGGTGGTCAAACAGAGAAACAGCCAAAGAGATTGTAGAAACATCTCTTGTTAAAGAAAATCCAAACTAGACTGAATGCAATGCTGAGGAATCTGATCTAAGCAGGATTTAATCCTGCTTTCTGCAGGAGGGGGGACTAGAGGTTCCTTCAAACCTAAATGATTTGTAATGTTCATTTGACCCTGGGAAAGTGTATTTCCTCTAGAGAGGGGATTTGATAATGCAGTGGGGTAAGGAGTGATGTTACGAGACTGTTATGGAACACGTCCCCTGTTGATTGTAACAGCTTTGTGAGCAACTGAGTTACAATGAAGGGAAACTTCACATCTCTGAGGGTGCCTGGAGTAAATTTGAAGCTGGGGCAACACTGTTTTGTGAGTCCTCCTTCCATGTAACTACTTCAAAGTGCTGTTGCACGTGGTAGGAGAATACTATCCTGAAGCCAGGATTTGATGCTTGTCTTGTGACTGTTTGGCATGGCTGTTCATTGCTTAAGCAGATTTCTCTGCCAAGAGGATCTCTGGCTTCAATTGCATTTGCCTGGGAAGAGGCATCAGTGCAATTCATCCCAGTCTTACTGGAGAGCTGCAATGTCCTTATGTGGCTGCACAGATTAGGTTAAATTGGAGACAAATTGTGTAGGGACATGCTGTGTCCTCTGGTCAGTCCCCTGTCTTTCCACTCCTCCAATTAGCCTTGAAATAATTGGTTTCCATTAACTTCAGCTGAGATCTCAGCAGGTTGTTCTTTATTTTAAAAAATTGAAGCTTCATGTAAGTTGTGGAACTGTAGAAGAGATGGTATCCAGCCTCCTTTGAAAGCTGATGCTGGGCTTTCCTGGGGAGTTTGTCTCAACTTAAGGAGTTCAGGCTGGAGCTGTGGATGCTGAAGGTACAGGGACCATGGATCCAGGGATCCAGGGGAGATAACCTGGAAAATCAGGCTTCAGTAACTGAGTGCTTGGGGACTTTTTTATTTGGGTTATTTTAATCCTTTCAGAGGTTGGTTTTATTTCGCAAAGAGCCATTTAATCGTAGAAACATGAAAGAAACAGGGGTTAGAAAGGGTATGTTTTCCTCTTAAGGCGGTGTTTTCTAAAGTAGGTCGTGACCCTTTTATGCAGGAATTTTGCAGCTGCTATCCTAAGGGTTGGAACTATATCTGAGAGCCTTACAGAGGCAAAAGCAGGGGGTATTAAGTAGATCCTAATACCCATTTGGGTCTCCTTCCTCCCCATCATCCTTCAACAAATGATCTCCTGCTTTTCAGGAATAAAGCAGCAAGCATTTGGCTGTGCCCGGGTTTCATTGTTTTGCTAAACCGTTATGTTGGAAGAGATTAACCAGGGAGCAAATTTTCTCCGAAAGCTGATCTTGAGCGAGGCTGAGAGAGGGGAGGGAAGAGTCTCAGCACTGACCTTGATCAGAGTGTCTTGAGATGGGGAGTGGGAGCCCAGCACAGGAACATTAACCCTGTGCTGCCCACATCATCAGGACTGCAGTTTGCTCTGATTGCAGCAGGTCTGTGACTGCTGGGAGAGTTGGTTTGTCCAAGTGCTACCCTGGCACAAACTGCCCATGGGCTTCTTCCTCTTTTCAATGGCAGCCCAGGAAATCTCTTGTCTTCCTGCTGCTGCCCACATATTTGTTACTTGCTCCTAAACTTTACATAACTTTCTCTACGAGCTTTTTCTCTCTGTTGGTGTCATCTCTCCCTATGCTTGTTCTCACTTAGCAATGTGTTCAGCATCCTTGCTGCAGCTTCTCTCCTTTCTTTCTCTTGCCACGCTGGCATTTAATAAACAAACTGTGTGGCTGCAAAGCCTGAAGTGCCCATGTTGCCATGTTTCCTGAACTCTCCAAAGAAGCATGGAAACCAGTCTTTGTTTGGTCCCAGAAGCTGCTGCTGCCACCAAAGAGCAGCTTGCTTGTGGCACATCGTGCTGCAGCTTGGCTTAATCCTCGCTTGATACGCTTTTGAGATTTCATTGTTTCTCTATAATTAGTGCTACAGAGGAGCTGAAAGAAATGACGAATTAGCGGGAGAGGGGGGAGTGGGGAGAGCAGGTGGTGATCGAACTAAAGAGAGCTGCCAGAAAAGTAGGAGCAGCAGGGAATTAAATGGGAGGAGTCTCGAGTTCAGATGATTCCCTGCCATGTGCCCAGAAGGATTTAGTTTGGGATTTCATTACTGTTCAAATAATGCCATACACTCATAACAGATCGGGTCCCTGTAGGCTGGGGCATTGTCCAGCACTTAGTGAAAAGCAGTTTTTGCCCTGAAGTCCTAGTGAGCATTGATCCCGCAGACTCAAGGACTGGAAAGGAGCTGTAGCATGAGTGGTGCTGCTTTTAATTAGGCTGCATCTATTGTTTCTGGTAGTAGCATCCTAAAAGAATAAAACACAAAGCTATTCTTTGTGTGGTGACTTCTTTAAAGCCCTGGACTTCATCTTGTGAAGGACTTGGTTCGCAGTAATGATGTTGCATCTGGATTGTAAGAAGCACCTCTGCCAGTTGTGCTTACACAGACTGGGTTTAACTGGCACAGAAATCCTGGGATGTCATGCTGTGGGGGGAAGCTGACACTACTGAGTGTCTGAGATATCCAGAGTTTTTGAACACAGATACCTGTGCTTATGAGGACAGGTAGCTTTAGAGGTATAAAGACACACTGAGAAACCAGCTGAGGAGTGAAAAGGGTTGTGTGGCAAGACAGTCCTCTGAGCTGCACAGTCATATATTCTTCCAGCATCTGGCTTGTGTTTTCAGCCTCTATTACTATGCACTAAGACATCCAAAGAAAGAAATCATAATACTGGCGCTTTGAATGTGTCAGCAGCAACATTTCTTCTGGGATCTAACTCTTTCCAAAGAACTGATACAGTGTTTGTTTTTTGTTCTGACTTCCAAAAGGCTATTGCTGTAGGGAGACCAGCAATGCTAGGAAGTGCAAACTCACTTCTGCCTTATGTCACCACTTCTGTGTGTGTTTCTCTCTTTGTCTTGAGCCCTTGTGTTTTTACTTTTTTCCCCTGTTGAAGAAGCAGCAGAAACAAACCAAGAGAAGCAGCTACTGGGTGAAGAGGAGTTGGTCAGGGCCACCCAGGATTCCCAGTGAGTGGGAATTAATTTATGCTGGGATTGCTGCTTTCATGCTGGATTCCTGCACCTGCTGGGCAGAGTGACTACAGGGAGTGCATATGGAGGCTTGTTTTTGGGATGTTTGTCCTGTGTTTAATGTTGTGTATTTCAGCCCTGCTCCTGGCAGTCTAACCAAACTCTGCTGTCAAATCCTCCCCTCCTTGCTCTTTCTGAGCACCTTCTGTTAAATATCTGCATAGACCTCTCCATCATCTGTTATTTGCTCTAGAATCTGCTTACAACACTCAAACTTTGTTTTCAAAGCCCTTTGTAAATACTCTTGCTGTTATTGCTGTCCTTTTCCTAATAACTTTGTTTTGCCTTGTGCTATGAATAGTCTCTGAAAAACAATATGTGTGCAAGTAATAAATGGCCTCAGTGTTGAACTTCTTAAAAACCCATTTGCTTTGGGAAATAATAAAGCTTTAGCAACATTAGCATTCTGTGTTCTGCACACTTCTGCCTTCTGCCATTAAAATGTAAACTCCTGAGTACAGGCAGTCCTGGCAAGCTGATGCTGATGTCCAGGGTGCACTGGCCATGCCATATAAAGTGAAGTCAAAGTCCTGTAGCTCCCACTGTAGCAGGTGCAGGTTGAAGATTAGAGGAGCAGAGTCCCTCAGTTCAGGGCTTTTCAATTTATTTCAGTTTTCCTCTGTCTTTCAGGGCTGAATTTTAAGCTCTTTGCCTCACCTGGAACTTGGTGTGAGAAGACTCTTGGTAGTGACTGTAGGGGCTTCAGGAGCCTTTGTTTGAAAATGAAAGTTTTTGCACCCAGTTTATGTGAATGTACTAGAAAAAAATTGCAAAGCTTGCAAAAATGTGCTCTACCCGAATTGCAGAATCTGGAAATAGTTTTTGTAGTGTTAAAAATAGGAGAATCTGCTAAAATAGGTGTGTTACACCAAAATACAGAATAGTTGTTTTCATTTCTCTTTATTTTCATTAGCATATTTTAGCTATTTGCAATAGGAACATTTGAGCTATTTTCCACGTATCCTACCCCCATTTTATTACTGTGAATTTACTCCTTTCCAGAGAAGTGTGTAAATGTGGGGAACCATGATGAAGGTAGGAAGTAAAACAAGGTGTCCTTTTGATGAGAGGTGAATGTTGCAACAGCTTCTGGAAGCCAACAAACATCAAACAGATTTTAAGTCTCACTATGGCAAACTCCCTTGCATGTCAAAGGCTGTGATGGTGCTGGGTGCTTTAAATCCAGACCTCCCTACTTGTAGCAGTTTGAAGGACTGTGTGTTAAAATGTGGTATTTTTTCCCTATTGGAATTTAAATGTTCTGGGGCTGTGGTTTTCAACCCAGAAACTGAGGCAGTGTGTGAGCTGGAGCAGAACCTGCTTGAATGAAACCCACCTCGTGTCTTTGCATAAAATGAGGAGAGATGAGAACAGCAGTTAGTGCATAAAAATATTTGAAAAATCTCATTAGTGTCGGTAGCAAAGAGTGGCTTGTTTTGACAGTTTGGGTGAACACATGAGGTTAAAAGTCTGTGTGACCTCAGTGGCATATCTTCTAAAAGTACATGAGTAGAATCACTCTTTTATGAGGAAGCTGGAGTCTGGAGAGGGTTTTTGGTCTGCAGAGCTGTAATGATCCCTGGAAGGGATCATAAAGATCCACTTGTTTTCATTCAGGTTGCCCAGCCCTTGGATGTGGCGGCTGAGCCAACCCATGGAGCTGTGCAGTGGGGAGTGCCTGGATTGCTTTCACTGGGTTTTCACCTGGCTCTGCTGTCTTTGCTGTCTGGCACTCAGAATTTTGTCGTCTGGCCTCCCTCCCTTCCTGCTGAAGTCCCTCAAGTGTTGGTAACTGTCTCTTTTCCCCCCAGGGAGCGGAGCCACTGCGGTGGTGCAGGCAGCCTTCTGCGCTCCGAAGAAGGAGAAGGTGGCGATTAAACGGATCAATCTCGAGAAGTGTCAGACGAGCATGGATGAACTCCTGGTATGCAATCAGAACTGTCTGCGGAGTTGTACTTCAGTTATTTCTGAGATATCTCTTTGCCAAGTGTCTTAGAACCTTTCTTGAGATGGGGTGAAGATGAGGGAACTTCACTGACCTCATTAGAGGCAGCCCAGTTGTCCTGGTTGTGGGACATGGTACTTAAAATGTTAAAAAGATCAACTGTTGCAAAACTTCAGACTGTTTCTTTAGAGCTCAGCACTTTGTATAATCCCTTTGTTTTGAACTGAGTTAATGTGCAAGTGTGAAGTTTTGCTGTACCCACAAGAGGTCTGAAGTTTGAGGAGGATCCAGAGCTATATGCTTTCAGAATATTTAAAATTAAAGGAAATGGCTTTGCTTTCTTTTCCTTTCCTGCAGTTCTTTACATTTTTTCCATTCACCTGTAAAGAGAAAAACTGAATGAATTAGCTGTTGTTCCTAATCTCTTTTCTGGTACTGATGCCAGCTAAAGGGATCACTGACATACTGCAGGCTGCCATATGGAAACCCCAGTAATTTTGAGTTCAGGACAGGAGACAGAGTCCTTTGGAGCTGCAGCACTGTAATTTTCTGCTGCTCTGTGCCTGTTTTCTCAAGGTTGTCTCAATGAAAAACAGAATTTTACAGTAGCTGTGGTAACTGAAATTTCCCTTTTCTCATCTGGCTCCTGTGTTGGTGGGTTTGGTTTTATTCTCTTTGTGTGTGTGAGCTAGTGCCTCTGCAGTGCAGTGGTTGTCTCATTCACTTCACATCTGGAAGGTCCCTGAATTTAAGCAAGGCAGACACAGACATTCCTGTGAACATTGACGTATCTCCACTACAATGAGAAAGCTCTCTGGGTCAAAATTTTCCACAGTAAATACTGGCATTATGGAGATGAGGCTTGCTACCATCTTTTCTTTTGAAGCACCTCTCTAGTGTTTTTATAATCCTGCCTTGTTTTCTGTCCCCCCTCGACAGCTGCTGTACTTTACCTCAGGCACTTGTTTCAGTGCTTGCAATTAGAAGGTAGAAGAGAAACAGAATTTGGGAGTGCTGCTACCTCTGCATTTCTGCAGTCTTCAGTAAATCACCTGAACCACAGTTCCAGTTTCCATCTAGTATCTAATGTTTTTTTTGTTGTTATGGGGATCTGCAGATCTGCCCTGGTTAGGAGGAAAGGCCCCATTCAGGCTGCCAGTGCTCCTGAGGAGGGTTGCGTGTAGGACTCAAGATAGCCTGTGTTCAAATCCTCTTATGGCTCATGCTAGTGTAGGAGTTCAGGATCTCTTCTCACAGTTGGTCTCTTTGTCCTTATACCAACCCTTGGTATCCTTTTCAAGCCTTTTGTGTGGCTTGCCCATACTACCCTGCCTCAGTGGTATTCCTGACTGCATTGTTCAGGATGTAGTAATTGAGACTGTGATTCTTTGAGTAATTGCCAATTCTGACTAAAAACATTAGGTTCAGAAAGAGACACTGCAGAGGCTTGATGTGTAATTTTAGATAAGTACTTCTAATTGCACATTTTAAGTCTCTGGCTGACCCGTTCCTCACAATGATTTTTTTCCTGTTATGGGTGGGTCTGCAATGTATTGCTGTTGTCAGCTCTCCAGTGCTTCCAGTTTTGTGACTGAATCTGGTGTGGTCCTTTTCTGGGCTTAAGTATGCAGCTGTAAGTATTCTTGAATTTAATAGAGGGGTGGAGGGGCACAAAGATGGTTCTGAGCTGTAGCAGCTTCCAGGAGCAGGGGTTGCTGAGGTAGCTGTGTTGTGTGAAAAAGTGTTTCCCCTGGGATTGTTCTGAATTTGTCAGTCTGTTGGATCACCAGTGTTGTTTCTCAGTGCAAGAGCCGAAAGAATGGAAGTTCCTGGTTTCCCAGCTCTGCGTGCTTCACTTCTTTTCATCTTGTTTCCATATCTGCTTCTACCCTAATATAAATATTCTCAAGTTTTAGTCTTGTAGTCTCCCTTCATGGCAGTTTTCCCAATTAGTTTAATTAACTTTTCTGAGCAACTACTTTGTATTGCATGATTGCCTTCCCCACCAAGAAAAAAAAAAGTTAACTGTAGATGGTTGCAGGTTACAGTAGTTTTAATAAGCAAATACAAAGACAAATATGATGAGCTCACACTGGAGTGTGTTATTCCCCTACCTTGCTTTCTCCTCTCCCCCAGTGCAGTTAAAATCACAAACTGGGGCTTTCTTGGAGCTTCTGTTGCTCTGAAGGCATTTGGGCACAGCAGTCAGCTTACAGTGAACTCTTCTTTCCTGCCTGGGGTCAGGTGTGTGCTCTTGGGTTACAGCACTGCCCACTCATTGGAAAGTGTGGTAGCAAAGGGAAAACTGTGCTTAAGTTATTTTATAATTCATTTTCTGCAGTGCCTTGCACTCGTGGATTTCTCTGTTGTGGGTAGAACAGTCTGACATTGCCTGGGAGGGGGTAGGGAGACCAGCAAACCATACTGCCAACCTTAAAAAGATGATTTGGTTCTTGTACACCTCTTTCAATGTCTGTGCTTCTTAGTGGTTTGCACTTGTAGTTCTTGGGATGGAGGAGAAGAGAGGGGTTAATTTGGAATGGGAAATGCAGAGTAAGTGGCTCTATCACCAGCTGGATGGATGAGTGGCCTTGAGCTTCCTTTAAGCCTAGCTGGTGTCCAGAGGCCAGGAAATCTGGGATCACATCCTTGCTTTGGAGATGCTGTGCTTAGAGTAAGTGCTATGACTTGGCTCATTAAAGGTATTGATCTTGATCCTTTTATCTCAATATACATTTGAGCTGTGTGGGTGGTCAGGAATAAACTGCACACTTTGCATATACTGTATGACATTCTAGGTTAATGCACTAAATTTATTTATTGCTGCTATGGGGTATGGAAAATGCAGGAAGGGCCAGCTTTGTTGAATCATGACAGGCCAAGTCAAGGGCGTTCAGTTCTTCAGCTGAAGTGCTAATTGCTGTAAAGAATGTAGACAGCAGGAGTAATGCTGTGCAGAGATGTGCCTCCTTCTAACCCAGCTACTGAATTAGGTGATGTTTGTCAGGAATTTATTTCCATGCTTCATTTTCATCTTTTTTCCTGTACATTTTTGAATGCTCACAGATCTTTCCTAGCCTGCCTGTGGGATTCAGCTGACAGAGAAGTACAACGTAGCTTATAGGGATTCTTGCTCAGGGGTGTGACTGGGAGTGGAGTGCAGGGAGAGGTGGTCAAATACAGTGTTGTCTACAAATGGTCTTGGACTTCTTGATTTATTGCTGAAGTTCCACTTTTTATTTGTCTTGCAACCTACAGTAGTTAACAACCACACTGGTGTGGGTTTGCAAACAGTCTGCTTGCTCATGTGTTGTATTTCACAGCTGCACACCATTCAGAGCTGTGTTTTGCTCTCTTTTCCACTGTGGGATGCTGGTTGCTTTGCTGCTATTGCCAATCCTTGAAACAGTGGTGTAACATCTGCCTCAAAATAACCATGCTTCCAGCCTTTTTTCTTGTATGAGTGTTTTTTTGTTTTAAAGAATTACTGATCTAAAAGGCCTTAAATCCCCCCTCTGTCCTACAAACTCTACTTCATTTTCATGTAATTAAAGCAGAGTTTTCTTTCATCCAGATGGAGACTTTTTTCTCCATGAGTAGCAGATGACGTGGGTTGTCAGCTTAGCAGTTACCAGGAATGTTGAACAGCAGAGAGGGAAACATAAGCTATGGGATATTTCACATTGGGCTTTCCCAGCTAAGGGGAAATGCTGCCTGTTGATTCCTAAGATGATTCAACAGGAGACAGGCTCAGGAAAGAACATGGGAGATGTGGTGTTGCTGTTCCTAGAAAGATTCCAAAATCTTCCTGCTCCAGGGACTGATTGCCCTGGGCCTGACAGGTTGCACATGAAGGGTGAAGGTACTGCTCTTTCAGTGCTATGGCCAGAGGGCAGTTAAGGAGGCTGAGGGAACAAGCTGAACTGCAGTTAAACAGAAATGTCCTTTAGAATTTCATGGAAATAACCCAGGGAACTTGCTGCCAACAGCATGGAGATCAAACATTGCGTGAGATTAAATAAATCAACCTATGGTTGAGAAGGTTAAATTAGATAGGATTTAGAAAAAGGATTATGAACTCCCCTGGTTTAAATCATAAGCCAACTGTTAACTGCCCAGGCTTAGTCAGAAGGCTACCCTCTGGGCAGATAATTGTGTAACTGCTTTTTATAGGGTTTTTACACCTTCTTTTGAAGACTTAGACAGGATATTGAACAGCCTTTGATCTGATGGAGCACTTCCTACAAGTGGTTTAACCAGACTATAAGGTTGTTGGGGACAAAGCAGCAGATTGCTGTGGAAGTAGTACAGATGTTTCATCCATGCCTGTCATCTGATGGGAATTGCCATTATAATTCCATTTCCAGGCTTGAGACCTTCACGCTTGCTCCAGGGAAAAGAAGTCCCCAAGTGTCAGTGCCAGGGAATCTGATAAATGGCATGTGGTTTCTGCATGGTTATTTGATCTGCTGAGTTACACGTTCCTTGCATGTTGGGATTGCAGCTTAAGACTTAAACCTGTGCTGGGTACAGCTTGGTTGTATTGTTTATCAAAGCAGCAACAACAGAAGTCTTAATTACTGTGCTGATTTAGGTTTTGGTAAGGTTTTGTTTTGGGGTTTTTTTGTGTAAAATTAACTATGAACATCAGAATTGATGGTGGGTGAAATCCTGAAAATCCAATATCTTCCTTCTCTTGGGCTGGATGAGCATGAGATGGTGCATGTAAAGAACTTCAGAGAGTTTGCAGCTGTCTGTGGGCACTAATCACATTGAAAGCATTGTTGAGCTGTAAGCACTGGGTATTGATCTGAGCAACTGTAAGGATCAGTGATAGGTTAGGTGGGGATGTGGGTAAAGCTGGCTTGCTTGTATCTGTGAGAGGAGGCAGTCACTCACCCATTTGCTTTTTGGCTGAAACCAATAAAAAATGGCCATGTAGGAACTGCTACACCACAACAGTTCAGAAACACCTGCTTCCTTCCTTCCTTTCACTAATGCTGAAGACTTTGAAAGAGGGAATGACCACTGAATGAGGCTGAAGAGTAGCCATTAAAATGGACAACTGCTGAATGACTTGCCATGGGACTATTTTGTTCCCATCACTGAAGATTACTTAACAGATGAACTGTGTTTATCCCTTTCAGAATCGTTTCTTTTTCATTGTTGTTCTAGGGCTAATCTAACTCCTCTTCACTCATGCCAGTTTAGCTCCTGTAGCCACTTAAGGCAGGGAGTTGAGCTGGATAATCCAAGAAGTGGGAGTTGAATCAGAATCTCTGATTTTGTGTTTTTCTCCACCTTCTTAAAAAATGTCTCTTGAGTTAATTTTGATAGAAGAACATGTTTGGATTTTTTTTTATTTTTTATTTTTAGTTATGTTGCCACCTCAAAAGGCAAATGAATTATTATTGTCAATTTTACGACCTTTTTGCTGAACTGTTAAAATTTCACTTGGAGCAGAATGTGAATGGTTATGGCTACATGTAGGAGTGGAGCTCTAAATCCTGTTTTAAAGGGATGAAGAGCAGCTTTAATGCCTTATCTCCCAGCTGAAATCTCATGGTATAAGATCTTTGGCAGCCATAGTTGAAGCATTGGTGTTTTCAAGGGGTGATCCCTTCTGACCTGCTTTGATTTCTGCTCCAGCCATGCTTTCCCTTCCCACTTCTCCTATGCTTGTGATTCCCTTCAAACAGGGTAGCCACGCTGGCAGCTCTCTGGACTCCTCTGAAGTTGCAGGTAGCCACATGAAAGCACTCTGCTGCTCTATCTCTGGAGTTCATGTCAACATGTAGGAAGTAAAACTAAATAAAGCATAATTTTTATCCTGGTATTTGAGAGCACGTGCCTCTGAAGCAAGCCTCAGGGGCAGAGAAACGCAGAGTGAAAGGTGGTGATGTGAAAAGAAAATACCATTAAGGAACTTGAGCTGGTAACTAAAACACAGCCTTACCTGCTCCTATTAATTCAAACTTCAATTGTGTGTCACTGGGCAAATAAACCCTCATCCAAAATAGCTGATCTCCAGAAGTATGTCTGACTTACAGGAGACTAATAGGTTGCTTGTGATTCTAGATTATACTTCACTGCACTTTTATGACTGTTTTGCAAGCCTTGAAATGTTTCTTTTATTGCCTGTAGAAGTACTGAAAACATTTGTCAGAACCCTTAATGGAAGCCATGGAGGAATTTAGAGCTAATCCCAGTCTATTTGCTTTTGGTATTTGACAATACAGATATTTTTAATATCTTGCCCAGGGTGAGCATGTAACCATTTCCAAACCATTGCCTGTGTCTAGACATGTTTTTGTCGGGAATTCATTCTCCATAGCTGAGCAGAAAGCAGAGGAATTTATGGGACTTGGCAGGAAGGCTGTCTCTCATCACTGCAGCCATGGAGTGTGAGGGGTGTTGGGTGGAAGAGCTGCTTATCACCCACTGTGGATGGCTTGGGGGTCTGTATCAAGTGACCCATGGCTGTTGGCAGAGAGGGAATAAAGTAACCTTGTATGGAGCAACCCAAATAGATTATTACAGAGGTGTGGACATCACTGAGATTTTTATTAGCAGTCTTCCAATACAGTTTTGATGCTGGGGAAAATATGGGAAGCACAGTTGTAACTCTGTTATCTGGGGATAGCAATTTTATTAGGGAGGAGGGAAGAGGAAACCTTTACCTGCTGTGACTTTGTTGTGCTTGAAGAGCAGCAAACTCTCCCAAAAGCTTTGGGAATAGTATTAAAGCTGAGCTTTCTACACACAAAATGGCTGTTTTGCTGCATTTTATCCCTTCCTACTCTAAGTATGCTTTTGAGCAGAGCTGCCCAGTGATCCTTGAGTGGGATCCCTGCTTTAGCTACAGCCCTTCAGCCCCTGCATTTGAACTGCTGCAGCAGGCTGTGGATAGATGACTGAATTGGCTTGGTTTCAGTTATGCCAGGAAGGATTTTAACCACAAAGCCCCTGTGATTTGCCACTATCACTTCAAAGAGTTGTATGGGTTGAACTTTCAGGATGTTGGTACCCTCTTTGGGGGAAAACAGGAACCAAGCTTTGATGTAGCCAGCGTGAGATTAGCCTAGAAAACTGCTGAAATGAAATGGGGGTTTGGGGGTGGGAGGGGAAGTCTGCCTGGCTGCTGCTCCTTCTGATTGGTAATAATGTAAAAACACTGAAAATCGTGGGCTGTGATGCCATTAATTATTCACAGCTGTACTACACTGTGTGAGAAATGGATTAATCTGCCTGTATTTTACATCCACTGGCTGACAGAGGTGTTTAATTGCACAGATCAGGTTTGTGATTATTTATTTTCCCTCTTTATGCTTTAGTGCACATGACAGACTTTAGCTATTTTTTAAGCTGTGTTTCCCAGCCCAGGGAGCACATGGTGGTAGTGAATGAGAAAAGAAGTTCTTAGAAAAGAATAATAAAATGGTAACTGTCACAAAATGCTTGAAAAATTCTGTAGTATGGGGCTGCTTAAATGTCAAAAATCTTATCTGTGTCTAGGATGTTAAGTAAACTTGGTCCAGACTTTGTCTCATTGCCTCCTACTACAGTAGCATATACAAATATAAATTAAATATGCAATGTTTGTATACATTTCTCATATTGCTCTCTTGATTTCCGAGGAAACTGCTTCATAATATTTTGAGCAGTCTAGCTGAGAAAATATAAAGCCAGCTCCTCTTAGATACTTTCTGAGAGTGGTGGATTTGGGGCAGGTCTGGCTGATGGGATGGATTACCAATCCTTGCTTGCTGCTTTCCACCTTGGTTTCCTCTGGTACCAAGTTGATCTTCTGTAGAATATTTTAATTGTCAGAGAGAACTACAGAGAGCCACAGAAAACTCTAAAGCTGCTGATTTATTTCCTTTGTGAAAAATGACTTGACAAGTGAAAGTTTGCAAGGAAGGGAGCTGGAGCTGTCAGAGTAAGCAAAATATATTGTTTTAGGCTGTATTTATTTTCACAGAGTGTTTTTCAGTCAGAGTATGCTACATGGAGATGAATAGCTTATTCCTCTTCAAATATCCTTTCCTGTTTAGAAGGATTCTTCTTTAATCTGCCTGTTAAGTTTCCTGGAAAGTTGGTGCCTCTCCTGGGGAAGCAGAAAGAGGAACCAATTGCTTTGGATTCCTCAAAGGCACCTACTCCCTGAAAAGCAGTGCTAAGTGGATAAATCAACATGAGCCTGTTCCTTTAGAGCTGTGATTGCCAGCTCAGGCCTTGCCAAGGGGAAGCAGTGGCTTTACTCTGAACTCAGTCACAAGCAGAGCTTTGTACAGGAGCAGGAGGAAAATGTGCTGCATTTGTGGGGTGTCCTGGGCACAAGTGAATTCTTCTCAGAGCTCTTTCTTGTCCTTCAGTACCAGGGAAGTCTTGTGCTTAGAGGGAGGGAAGGATCAGGGGTGAAGGGCCTTGCTCTCCTGCTTCCATGAAGGAGTGCTGTAGTTGAGAGAAGTTCAGGGTATGAGAGGATGATGTCTGGGGTGGGTACAATTTGTCAGGTTGGGGGACTTGGCTGAAGCACAAAGGCTCAGCTGGGTGCAGTGTGGGGTGCCAGGCTTGGCTCAGTGGATGGCTTTTGTCTATGGACAGCCAAGAAACTGTGAGTCTTTCTGTCCAAAGTGGTGATTCGTGCTTGCATAATGAAATCAGTCAGTGTTTTCTGTGGTGTTGTTCCCTCCATAACCTGAAAAACCTCAGCCCTGAATCCATAACCAAAACGAAGACTGAGTACAGTCAAAACTCAAAACAATTTAATATCTGAACATATTTCATATTGTCCTGGACTGGTAGTAGCTACTGACTTTCTAATCTCAGAGTGATCTCTCTCTTCTTCCAGGGTGACAAAGGATACAGCTGTCCTTTGTGCCTTCAACCTAATTGAGCTGAGCCATCTGCTTTCTTGCTGGGAAGAAATATTAGGAATAAGAGGCCTTTTTTCCCCAGAGGCCAATATTTTCCTTTCTCATCCAAATGATAGTCTTCAACAGATTAAGCATCTGTTGCATAGTGTTTTACTGAAAGGAGAAGTCAGCATGAACTTCCTAGGTCACAAACCAGAGTGAATTTTTGGGAATATTCTGTTGTAGCTGCGAGCAGATATTTTGATTGCCACCACATTGATGTCCTTACCGTGGGTTTTTTGGTTAACTTTTTTTTCCTCTAGACAAGACAGGAAGAGCACCCTAAAATTTGGCTCTAGTATGATGCAGCCTGAGTGTTTAGAGTATTTCTGGATTTTCTGCATTTACCTTCTAGGTATCCCTTTTTCTTTGCACCCTTGCTTGTCTTGAGGAAGATAACTTCTGTGCCCAGGAGAAGTGATCACTTTGTCCAACTGCCAATGTTTTATTTTTCTCTACAGAAAGAAATTCAAGCCATGAGTCAGTGCCATCACCCCAACATTGTATCTTACTACACATCGTTTGTGGTGAAAGATGAGCTTTGGCTGGTGATGAAGTTACTTAGTGGAGGTGAGTGGTCCAATTTCTTTACTCTAAAGGCAGCATAAAAACCTGTCCTCCTTCCTTCCTCTCCCTTCTTTACCTCTTCAGGTTCCCACCCATGAATTAAGAATTGTGGAGTTGTTTAGGTTGGAAAAGACCTCTAGGATCAGAAAGTCCAATGATTACCCCACCATTGCCAAGTTCATGACTAAAACCCTGTCCCCAAGTGTCACATCACATGTCTTTTCAACACTTGTGGGCATGGTGACTCCACCACCTCCCTGACAGCCTGTTCCAATGCTGAGCAACGCTTTCCATGAAGAAATGTTTCCTAATTTCCAATCCAAATCTCCCCTGGTGCAACTCGAGACAGCTTCCTTTTGTCCTACTGCTTGTTCCTTGGGAGCAGAGCTCGATCTCCACCTGGCTGTCCCCTCCTGTCAGGGAGTTGTGCAGAGCCTAAAGGTCCCCCCATACCTTCATTTTCTCCAGGCTGAGCCCCTTTCCCAGCTCCCTCAGCCACTCCTGGTGCTCCAGACCCTTCCCCAGCTCTGCTCCCTTCTCTGGACTCGCTCCAGCACCTCAAAGTCTTTCTTGTCATGAGGGGCCCAAAAGTGACTCCAGAATCTGAGGTGGCCTCACCAGTGCTGAGTACAGGGGACGATCCCTGCTGCCCTGGCCCTGCTGCCACACTACTGCTGACCCAGGCCAGGTGCCATTGGCTTTCTTGGCCACCTGGCCGCGCTCTGGCTCATGTTCAGCCACTGTCACCAGCACCCCCAGGTCCCTTCCCACCAGGCATCTTTCCAGCCATTTTGTGTGAATAATATTTGATTGCAACCCCTTCAGCTCAGAAATAGCTTCTCATGTGATGTCCATCAGTAGTAACACCTAACTGGCTTTTGAAAATCGTTGCCTGGTTAACACAGAGCCAGGGAAACTTCCCTTATCTGGATTTATTCTATCACAACTTGTTGGAGAAACAACTTTTTTTGAGAGAGTGAGTTTGAAAATGATGTATCAGTAATGTTTTACTTGAAGTCATAATATTTTCCAGGATCCCTGTTTAAGTTACAGTTGAGACAAGAAATGGAGTCAAGTTCTGGATGTTAACACAAAGGGCTGTTGCTAAATCTCCTGTCTTTAGGAAGACTTCATTTTCCTGGCACTGCAGCAAACAGGAATTGAAAACTGAAAAAAAAAAAATCCTATTTTCTTTCTTTTGAAAAAAACCCAACCTGGCTTCTCTGTTCTTGGCTTAATTTTTCAGACTGTGAAATGCCAGGAGATGATGTGGAAAAATCTGGCTAAACCTGTTTGCATTTTGCACAAGAGCTCAACAATGACCACAAACCATGTCTCTTTGAAGGTGTTCTTTAGAGAAATTTTAGCAGTTCTCTTGGGAGAAACCAAATTCCATGCCAACCTTAAATCTGTCTTAAAGGGTTTTTAATGTCTCATGTGTCATTGAGCAATACCCTGTTTTCTTAGAGGGGGATGTAACAGGTCATTAAAGATGTGATGACTGCGTGTGGAAAAGAATCCTCTGCCAGCTTAGAGCAAGCAGTGTTGCTGTGTGTATAGAAAGTGTATCTATGGGAAAGTTTCCACAACACGAGGAAATGGCATTTCAGGGGTGCTGGAGAGGCAGCAGCAATGGGTTTGGCCTTTTCCAGGAGAGCACACAACCTCTTTGAAGAAAAGGCACAGCTGCCTCCATCACTTCACAGCAGTTTTCTGTCACAATCGAGTCACGATGAGGCTCATCCTTGAACCTCCAAATGTTACCTCTGTTTGTTCTCAATTTTGTGTGGAGGTGGGGTTTTTTTGTTTTTTTTTTTTTTTTTTTTTTTTTTTTTTTTTTTTTTTTTTTTTTTTTTTTTGTGTAAAGTCTGACTGGGAAAAAGTCAGACCATCATTATCAAGGCAACACAGAGGTAATGACTACACTGGAAAATTTCTGGAAAAATAATTATTGCATCAGAACCAGCCTCTTGCTGGTGTGAATGATGACCTGCTTCTTATTTAATATTCCCTTCAAATGGGCTTTTATGTTCTTCAGCCTGATAATTGACCCTTGTGCAGCTCTGGCATATAGTGGGGGACTTGTAGTAAAGGAGTGCTAGGAAATCTCCCTGCTTCTTTTTCTGTTGCATATGTTGAAGAGTAGGGTCATACAGTAGAAGACAGATCAGTAAGAGTGTAACTCTTCCCTCTCCCCAACATTTCTTGGAGTCAGTGTTAAATTTTCTCACTTAAAAGGAATCATTTGAAGGCTGGAGGAATTGCTAATGTAAATAGAAAGACTTTGAGAATGACCTTTCACTTTCTAAGCAGGAGGATACCTTGTGAGGTATTTTTCAGCTGTTTTCTTCTATGTACTTTTTATTTCATACTTTTTTATATCTGTGCTTCAGGAATCTCATATTAGGTCTCATAGGCAGATTCTACAGCACAGTCTTAAGGATGGGGGAAGAAACTTGTGATTGGAGCTTTCTGACTGAAGAGCTTTTTCGTTCACTTTTAATGAGCCTATTTTCAGATGGTCTTAGGCTGAGTGATTTATGTAACAAGAGACACTTCTAAAACTGCCTCTCATTCCTTTGAGCTTAGTTCTTATCACTAATAAAGTGGCTCGTTTTGCAGTCATCTGTCATCCAGTGGGAAAAATAATGATCTGGGTTTCTCAACAGGAAAAATCTTTGGGCTGGTTTTTAAACCAGAAAACAAAAGCAAAGAAAAAGCCCCCCCCAAACAAAACCAAAAACAAACAAGCAAACAAAAAACTCTGCACCAAAACGGACCCAAAACAGAGAGTTATGATCCTAAGACTTTCATTTTGTTTAGCTGTTTAAAAAGATTTGTGCATCCCAGTAAGTATGTAAGAAATACATTCTTATGTCCATTCTGTATTTTGATCGTGGCTTTTGTTCATGATAATTTATTCTGGGTAAAGTTCAGAATTTTATTGCCTCTTTTCTATCACCTTATGCTGGTGTGTGATTTCAGGCTGAAACTAGTTTTAATTTCAGCCTACAAACACTGACCTTATTAATCTGACAGCCCACAAGACAGCCCAATCTGTAATGCTAGTCTTTTTTGTTGTTGTTGTAAATGTATTTTAATTTATTTTGTGGCTGCAGTCTTTTGTTAAAATCCTAACCTGGTCATACATGCAAGTGTTTTAGAAATGTCTCTAAGGGAAAATAGTCTAAATCCACAAATTGCTGTTGTCTAACAGTGCCTTGCTCCTCTGACAACCAGAGGGTGCACTCAAGGGTCCTTAATTACCTGACTGACGTTGTAACTGAAACAGAACTATTTGTCTCCACAAGTACTCTGTTGATGGGAGATTTCTATATTTGAAAGTTGTCAGCAGCCAGGAGGAAGCACTGGGGAGCTGATGTGCATCAGAGCCCAGGCAGGCTGGTGGGAGCCACTGCTCAGAGCCCTCTGAGCTGGCAGCCCTGAGCCCGAAGCAGCTGTGGAGTTGCTGATGGCAGAAACGTGGCTGTGATGAGGTGCAGCTGGTGGAGACAAGGGGTGCTGCTGTGTCCAGTTACTGACAGCCTCTTTCAGGCCTGGTGGTGTGTGTCTGTGTCAGCTTTGTGAAGTGCCTGCTGTTCCTGTTCCCTTCATTAGAAGCTGCAGACCCTTTTCTCTAGAGCTGGGACTTCTGTAGGGTTCTAAGCTAAGCAGTGTGAACTTGACACCCCAGCCTTTGAGTCCAGTGTTACTCCAAACCAAAATCCAATGGCTATTTCTAGACAGCTGCTGACCTGCTCTTTGCCTCCCTGGCATTCTCCTGTCATGAATTTTACTCGTGCTTTTTTAAAGCCTGCTGAAGCCCAGTCCTGCTCTCAAACTCTTGTGGCTTTTTAGTAGGAAGAGGAGCAGCTGTGCTTTTGTTCTTGTGCTTTTACTGATTGTGACCTGCTTGCTCTTCTAAATTCTCCCTGCTTTTAACAAGAGCTCTCATTTCACAGGTGACCCATGGTTTAGATAACTCTATAAAACAGTTGCTCCTGTGAAACAGCCCGGCCCTGGTGACTTGCTACATCACAAAACAATTTTTCCTGTCCTAGCCTGCAGCAGATGAAACCTCCAAAATATTTTTAAACTGTGCAAATCCTTTAAATACTGAAACATTTCCAGATAGGGTTCTTGGATATTCTGCCCTCTTGAAGGCTTCTTGTTGAAATCTGTTAAGGAGATTGCTGTATTGAAATAGTTAAACCTTTTATTTTCCAAAAGTTTTTAAGATTAGTTAATCAACTTCTTACTTCAACCTTTGATCTGAAGTTCAGAATGCCAGACCAAAAGAGGTAGGCAAATCCTAGTTCTCTACCAGGGAGTTAGGACATCTTGTTCTGCTTCTGCTGTGTTAATCTCTGATCTGGCTCCTCCTAATTCCAATGGAGAGTTATGATCAAAGCATAAACCACAGGTCCTTAGAAATCTTTGTGTTTATGTTGAATTATTTTCTTAGGAGAGAGATATGCTATTTTTAATTCATCTGGAGGGGTTTTGATTTTATTTGTAGAAACACAATTTCAAACAATTAAAGATGGGATAAGTCAGAAGCAGGAGATGGCAGGGATTGTACGTGATTGCAGAATGCAATGTGTGTAGGTACATTGCCCCTCCTAACTGTAATAAGAAAAGCATGAAAAATTAGTTTATCTTCAGATTTTCTCCTATAAATGTCTTGATCATAACAGCAATATGCTGTTTTGCTCCCTTTATTGTATTATCTTGTTTTCTGCCTTAATCTTTCCATATTTCTTCTGCATCCATGCACATGCCCTGGGGGGAAGGAGGCAAGAAGTGGATGTTTGCTTAGCTTTCCCTCTGAGGTGGTTAATGTCTTTTCCTTTGTTTTGTATAACTTGTTGTTTCCTTTACTTTGCTACTCTCTAGCTGTATCTGTATTCCTCAGTCCCAGAAGTACTGAATCCAAGCACTTCTTCCTTCTTATGCATTTTCTTCATCTGTTTGCCAGAGACTGACAAGGTGCAGATTTAATT